GGCCTTCCTGACCATCTCTTTAGCCGTCACCAAGAAACCAAACCCCACTGTCCCTCTAGCTTGGCCCTTGTTTTTCCCTTGCCCCTGCCATAGCATGTTCATTGGGGGATTCCTTCCTCCTTCTCATCTCACAGGGGAAGGGAGAAGAAAGAAAGAATTGTTCTCCCACTGGAAGGGGTTCTGCCTTCTGAGGTGACATCCAGGAACCTGTCCCCATTCCCTTCTCCTTTAGATGTTAGAAATACATTTTGATTCTGATCATGGGGTGGGGGAGAAAGGAAGGGAGGGAGGGGAGAAGCCCAGCAGAGGCTGAGCCAGGCAGAGGGGAAAGAAGCTGATATGAGGAAGGCTCTGGCAGGCCACAGCCTCTGTAGCTGGAGGACTTTCCCACGCTTGAGAGAGGGGCCTTAGAGTCCCTCCGACACCCCTCCCGCTTCCCCTTGCTCCCTTTCTTCACCTGGAGCCCTCTGTGGAGATTAGCTCTGTATTGATTTTTAAGTTATAAGCAAAGGGTATTTTATTTAATATTAGGTTATGTGTGTGCATGTTGTGTGTACCTGTGTGCATGTGTGTGTGTTTCTCTACTGAGCCTGGGGTCTCCAGCCAGGGAGACCCCATCTTATTCACCATGTCCAAGATCCTGGGATCTGGGCCGAGCATCTCTTCCTCCCTTGTAGATGCTGGAGCCCAGTCCAAGGTCTGGGAGCTATATGGGAAGTGGGGGCTGGGATCTGGGTGGGAATATGTGTTTGTATACAAAGGGAGCCTCCTTAAAAGGGACAGGATGACCTTCCCGAGGGACTCACTGGCCTGGGGTAGTTTAAGAAGTAATGTTCTTTCTTTCTCTTTTCCCTACCTCCTGCTAACCCAACCAGAGATCCCCTTCCTTGCTGAGAGGGTTGGGGGCAGAAGGAGAGTTGGCAGTGCCTGCAAGTTGCCTGGCCAGGTGAAGAGGGGGAGAGAGGAAGGGCACTGTGGGTGTAGGATGCCTTTCTCCTCCACCCATCGAAACCAGCCACCCCCTCCCTGTGCCACCAAGACAGCCTTTTCCAGTGGCCATCCTAAGGGGAACTCCCAAATGGGTGTTGGTGGTGGACACAGATGCTCCCCCCAATGGAAGCCCCAAGCTCTGAGGTATGCGGGTAGAGACTTTGGATAGGTTTTCTTCTGCTCCCCTCTTTTATAGATCTAGGCTGCTTGGCTGCCTGTCTTTCTAGGCAGCCCCCCTAGAGGAAAAATGTAGGAATTTATTTTTTCTTTAACTGCTGTGAACTCACTTTGAGGGGGTAGGAGGAGGGAGAAACAGCCTGTGTTTTTTATGCAATAAAGTCATCAACTACATCATGCTTCCTTTGTGTTCCAGCTCTGTTTCCTTTTTGACTCAGTGTCCCCCAGCAGTGAGGACCAGTTCTGGGCCACAGAGTGGGGTGGATGCTTCCCAATGATCCTGCAGCCCCTTGGAAAGCCTCATGTCTATTGAATTGGGTTGGAGCTGGGATCTGATCCTGCCCCAGAGGTGGCTGGTATGGAAGGAGGGAGGTGCTTCCTCTGGGTTGATACCGAGGCTGTCCCTCCCTGGTCTCATACCTGTGGTTATCAGAAGTTTCTAGATATCTCTTTCCTCCTCCACATACAAGCCCCTTCTTTCACTTCCCCTGTTAAGAACACTGGTTCCCTCCTTTCTTAGGCATTGGCTCCCTCACTCCATCCCCATGGAGGGTGCATGTCAGTCTATCCCGTGGCTGTGACTGAGCTGGGGGTGACTGGCAATGATTTCTTCACCCAGGATGATCCTTATCAGGGACAAGGCGATGAAAGGCAGCCGAGCTATCTGATGGGCTCCCGCCCAGCTGGAAAATATGAGGGAAAGGCTCCTACTGCAACTCACAGCTAGAGACCCACCATGGTTACACAACCACAGGGCACACAAACATACCTGCACCGGACCCGCGTGCACCCGCCCCCAGAGATATGCAGAAATATTCATCTATATACATCTTCCCAGGTCTCCCGGTGCTCGATACAAAGTTGATGCCTAATTCACATCAAATGAGTAAAAAGCCTCATGGTTCCAGAGTCCCAAAGTTAGGAAGGTTGACAGAAGATAGGTTTTGGGCTCCAAGGGGGCTGGGGGCGGGGGTTACTGTGTTCTTTCACCTTCTTATTCTACCTTTGCCAAATTTATTATTTTCCCCTAGAGGAATTTCTAGATCTACCATTCTAACCCTAATCCAATTTCTCGAAGCCAAATCTGGTACTCAGGGTGGCCCATCCCATAACTTAATTTGGGAGATCCTGGGGTCACAACGTTTATAGCTACCTTAGGATAGGGGCATCAGAATGAATGATTTAGGGGTTGTAGAGGAAACCAGACTGGTTTGGGGGCCAACTGTTTGTTTCCATCTGCCACTGGATTTAGAAGGCTGGGAGGAGGAAGGACAGGTGTGTTTTCCTGAGACCTCATGCCAGCCCCACTCCTCCAGGTGCCTCTTTTGTCTTCCTGATTCTAGGAGAGTTAGACCCCAGGAACTTGGTGAGTCCCCTCCTCCTTTACCCCCATCGCTGCCCCCAGGGACAGGAGGGCAGCTGTGGGGCTGGCTGGGCCTGTCTGGGCAGGGCTGGGGCCACCCCTCCTCCCCATGCTGCTCCTCCCGCTGACCTGCATTCTTAGCAGGGGCCTTTGGTGGGGCTCTGACGCTTGCTTGCTTGCTGCAAATGCTGCCTGGCTGGCCTGCCCCCACCAACCCCAACGGAGCCCAAGGCCACCTCTGACCCTCCTCAGATGCGGTGCCTGGCAGGAGGATAATGGAGGGCCCAGGAATGGGTTAGGGAAATCAGAATATCTGGGCTGGCTCTCTAGGTTCCTCTCCTGGGAAGTGGAAGTAGAATCTACTCCCACCCTCTAGGGTGGGTGAATGAAATAAATGAGAAAGTGACAGAGAAGACAGCCTGGGAACTGCAACCTGGGGGTGCGCTGTGGCCTCTCTCTGCGTCTCCTCCTGCCTGTTGCCGCCCCACAGTGGGCAGCCGGGGAACTGCAGGAGATGGACCCGCTTTCCTGCAAGCTGCTTCGGGTGCCCAGATTTGTCAGCGCATAGCCTTGATGTTTGCTTCTGGAATGACATTAATTGGCAACCTCACAACCCCTCCGCGACATTGTATCAGAAGCAGCCTTCACCTTCCCATTAATCCTAGCGTGACTGACCGCCAGCACCCTAGCAGAGTAGGCTTGAAAGAAAACCAAACTCCACTAAAACACTGTTAGAATTCTTTTCTTTTCTTTTCTTTTTTTTAAGACGGAGTTTTGCTCTTGTTGCCCGGGCTGGAGTGCAATGGTGTGATCTCAGCTCACCGCAACCTCTGCCTCCCAGGTTCAAGCAATTCTTCTGCCTCAGTCTTCCCAAGTAGCTGGGATTACAGGCATGTGCCACCACGCCCAGCTAATTTTGTATTTTTAGTAGAGATGGGGTTTCTCCATGTGAGCCAGGCTGGTCTCGAACTCCCAACCTCACGTGATCCGCCCATCTTGGCCTCCCAAAGTGCTGGGATTACAGGTGTGAGCCACTGTGCCCTGCCCACTGTTAGAATTGTTAAGCAAATACAGTAAAGTCAGAGGATACGAGGTCAATGTACAAAAGTCAGTAGTGTTCCTATACACTCATAACAAACTATACAAAAAATAAATCAAGAAAATAGTCCCATTTACAATAACTATCAAAATAATAAAATATTTAGGAATAAATTTAACCAAGGAGGTGAAAGATCTGTACTCTGAAAATAAGACATTGATAAAAGAAACTGAAGAAGACACAAAGACATGGAAAAATATTTCATGCTCACAGATTGGAAGAACTACTGTTCCTAAAATGTGCATACTACTCAAAGCCATCTATAGATTCAGTGCAACCCCTGAAAGCAGATAACCTGCAGCATCTCCCCTCCCTCCATTCCTGGAGGGCTCCATACAGCAAAAGGGTGTAAGATGCATTTGTCTTAATGATGGCTATGGAGAGATGGTTTGTAGAGAAAAATGAACTGAAAATCAAAACATTTGGGGTGAGAGTATACCCCCACATGACTGTGTGTCACCTTTGGCCACAACTTCTTTGTGGTTTCAGTTTCACTACAGGTAAAGGCACTAAATCTTTGAACTAGAAAGTTCTAAATTTGCTTTTAAAGCTATCTTCCTATGGGTTGGAACACTATTGGACAGATAGGCCCTCTGGGATCAGATGGGTTTTGTGCACCTGTTCCCTTATTTATTTTAAGAGACAGGGTCTTCCTCTGTCACCACGGCTGGAGTGCAGTGGTGTGATCTTGGCTCACTGCAGCCTCGACCTATCTGGCTCAAGCGATCCTCCCACCTCAGCCTTCTGAACAGCTGGGACTACAGGCACGCAACACCACGCCCAGCTAATTTTAAAATATTTTCTGTAGAGGCGAGGTCTTGCTATGTTACCCAGGCTCGTCTTGAACTCCTGGGTTCAAGGGATCCTCCCACCACGGCCTCCCAGAGTGCTGGGATTACAGGGGCCAGCCCCCCGCACCTAGCCTCCACCACTCTTGTATTCTGTATCTTATTCCCCTGGGTGCCTCCAGCCTGGGATTGCGCCTCTGGGATTCAAACCGGGACCCAGATGTCCCAGCAGTCCCCGTTCTCTGACAAAGTCTCCCTTTTCACGCGGGATCCTTTCCACCCCTAGCTCCAGCTCCCCGCAGCGACTCCGTGGGGTTAGCAACCTTTGTCAGGCCTAAAATGGGCGCCCGGGTAGGACAGGAAGTCAGGTGTGGCTCGCAAGGCCGCTCCGCTCCGGGAAGTGGTGCAGGCGCGCGCCCTGGTGGAAAACGGCGGAGCTGCACGCTCCGTTCCGGCTCCGACCCGGAGGCCGAAGGCCTTCCAGGTCTCCTGGGAGTCTCCGCCCAATGGGGCGGCCCTGGCCAGAAGCGGAGGAGGTCGCACCCGGGACCGAGCTGGGGTCTTGGAGGGAGAGAGAGTGAGGGGAATACAGTATTGGGGGTGAGAGAAGGGTTGGATAGAAGAGGGTCGGGTATCTGGACATGCGCAGGGCCGCGGGACTCTTGGTGGGGTAGCGAGGGGAACGGTCCCACGACTGCTCCCAAGGGCCGGAACTCCCAGTGGGGGCGGGACCCCAGGACTCCCAAGCCTGGAGCCTGGGGAGAGGGTGGGCACCTCTGCTCCCGCACACCCGTGCATGGTGTGTGCGCCAAGCGTCCAGGAGCCACGGCGGTGTCTTCCCTGCGCGTCGTTTACACGTGTGGGGGTAGGCGGCTCCCCGGGACTGAGCTGTGGCCAGGTTTATGGAGAGGCCCGCCTCTCCCCAGATGGCATCGTCGAGCCCTGACTCTCCATGTTCCTGCGACTGCTTTGTCTCTGTGCCCCCGGCCTCAGCCATCCCAGCTGTGATCTTTGCCAAGAACTCGGACCGACCCCGGGACGAGGTGCAGGAGGTGGTGTTTGTCCCCGCAGGCTCTCACACTCCTGGGAGCCGGCTCCAGGTGGGTTAGGCCTTATGGGGTGCTGGGAGGTGTGACAGATCTCTGCATTCTTCTAAGACCTTTTCCCCTGCTCCCCACACCTGGGAGGCTGCCAGAAGTAGTTGAAGAGCATGAGCTTTAAGTCTACCAACCTGGACCTGAGCCCATTATGTAGCCTCAGTCTACCTCAGTTTCCTCTTCTATAAAATGGGAATGAGACATTCCTCAAAGGGATCTATAAGGTGATTGGCAGAGTGCCAGCACTCGAGGGGCCGCCCCTCTCTGAGTGGACACTTCCTTTCTCCTCCCTCACCTCCAGTGCACATACATTGAAGTGGAACAGGTGTCGAAGACGCACGCTGTGATTCTGAGCCGTCCTTCTTGGCTATGGGGGGCTGAGATGGGCGCCAACGAGCATGGTGTCTGCATTGGCAACGAGGCTGTGTGGACGAAGGAGCCAGTTGGGGAGGGGGAAGCCCTGCTGGGCATGGACCTGCTCAGGTGCAGACCCTGCCCTTCCTCATCTGCCTGAAACACCAGAAATCTGGGGGCTGAGTTTTGACCTGGGCCCATCTATCCCTCCCCCAGCCTGGTTCACAGGGGCCTCCTCCTCTCTGCAGACTTTGCCCTCGTGCCCTCGTGAGGAAGGCTGCAACAGCAGCCACCTTTGGGCCTCTCCTGGCCCAGAAATAGAGCAGTGGTTATTTATTTTCAGTTGAAATCTCACATAGAGTCCCGATTTATAAAACCAGTAATAGTGGATGGAGCAGCTCTGGGTGGAGAGAGGTTGGGGGCTCAGGACACTTTTCTCTCTGAAACAGTGTTTCAGGCCTTTTCATGGAACCCTCAAAGCATAGCACATGGAACGAGAGCATTGAAAGCCACTGGTGTAATTGTTTGATATGATCAGTGCCAGCAGATTTGCTGTGTGACTTGGGCCTATCACCAAACCTCTCCAGGCCTCTTCTGTCCCCTGGAGCTTCTGCCACCAGCCATTGATCCCTCTGTCACCCTTCTGTCCCTTGGTCCTCTCTTCTGTCCCTTGGTCCTCTCTCTTGCCAGGCTGGCTTTGGAACGGAGCAGCTCTGCCCAGGAGGCCTTGCATGTGATCACAGGCTTACTGGAGCGCTATGGGCAGGGGGGCAGCTGCCTGGAGGACCCTGCGCCATTCTCCTACCACAACACCTTCCTGCTGGCTGACCGCACAGAGGCATGGGTGCTGGAGACAGCTGGGAGGCTCTGGGCTGCACAGAGGATCCAGGGTGAGGCATTCCCTTTCTGCCAGCCTTGGGAAGTGGGAGAGATGGTAGGGGCCCGATCCAGGTGCAAGCCTGTCGGGACATTCAGGGAGATGGGAGATGAGCTCACTTGGGAACTCTTCTCCCCTTCACTCGGTTAAGTCTTCCTTGTGCTACAGCCTGCTGCTTCTTCTCGGAAGCCTTCCTGGACTTCCCTGGGTGGTCAGGTTTCCTGCTTATATGCAAGCAGGTACTTCTTTTTCATCGCATTCAACACAGTTGCATGCTTACATTTATCTCTGTGACTGTTTTGTCTGCCTCCCCCACCACACTGTAGGCTCCATGAGGGTAGGTCGTTCTCTTTTCCACCATGTTCTCAGCGTCTTGCCCAGTGCCTGGCATAGAATAGACACTCAATGGTAAATGAACCGCTCCCCCATCTCCTCCACAGAGGGGGCCCGCAACATCTCCAACCAGCTGAGCATTGGCACGGACATCTCGGTCCAACACCCAGAGCTGCGGAGTCATGCCCAGGCCAAGGGCTGGTGGGATGGGCAGGGTGCCTTTGACTTTGCTCAGGTCTTCTCCCTGACCCAGCAGCCTGTGCGAATGGAGGCTGCCAAGGCCCGCTTCCGGGCAGGGCAGGAGCTGCTGCAGCAATGGCAAGGTTAGTGAGCGGTGGAGGGGGCTGGGGGCCAGGAGGGCCACAGCAGTGCCAGCCACTCTCCCCTCCCACAGCTTCCCCTCTACTCCTTGGCAGGGGGCATCACAGCAGAGGTGATGATGGGCATCCTCAGGGACAAGGAGAGTGGTATCTGCATGGACTCGGGAGGCTTTCGCACCACGGCCAGCATGGTGTCTGTCCTGCCCCAGGATCCCACACAGCCCTGCGTGCACTTTCTTACCGCCACGCCAGACCCATCCAGGTGGGAAGAACGAGGATGGGGAAGGCTGGGGAGAAGAGAGGATATGATATATCTCCATCCTTCCATCCGTGCCCTTCTAGGTCTGTGTTCAAACCTTTCATCTTTGGGGTGGGGGTGGCCCAGGCCCCCCAGGTGCTATCCCCCACTTTTGGAGCACAGGACCCTGTTCGGACCCTGCCTCGATTCCAGACTCGGGTAGATCGCCGGCACACCCTCTATCGTGGACACCAGGCAGCCCTGGGGCTGATGGAGAGTGATCAGGTATCCCCCAGGGAGTAGGGGCTACCCTGAGGTGATGACAGATCTCCTACTCCCAGTGGGACTCTGGAAATATGAGGGAAACTGGGAGTGGAAGATATTCGAGAGCTGGAGAGAGGAGTTCCTCCCTTCAAAGCCAGCAACTGCCTTTGGGGAATGTTGGGGGGTCTCTCCTTTCTCCTGCTTGTGTGAGGTGGTACACAGTCCCCCCTTCACCTGGCGGGAAGCCTGTCCTGGACAGACTCATCTCAGCTTTCCCTTGGGGCAGGATCGAGGGCAGCAGCTCCAGCAGAAACAGCAGGATCTGGAGCAGGAAGGCCTCAAGGCCACACAGGGGCTGCTGGCCAGTGAGTGGGCCCCATCCCTCCAGGAGCTGGGCAGCCTCTTCCAGGCCTTCGTGAAGAGGGAGAGCCAGGCTTATGCATAAGCTTCATAGCTTCTGCTGGCCTGGGGTGGGCCCAGAACCCCTCGGACCAACTGCCCTGAGTGGTGGTGAAGTTGGAGCAATCCCTTCATGCTCCTTGGCCATGTTCTGAGCAGCCAGCTTGGCCTTAGCCTTAATAAATGTGCTTTATTTTCTCTTCAGTGAACTTTATCCCAGGTTCAGTGGGGGTGGGAGAGCCAAGTGAGGCCCGAAGGCAGCTGTGGGCTAGCTGCGGGGCCTGTGGTTGTGTACCCATTCCTGAGTGGTTGAGTGATGGGGACTAGGCAGGAGGACAGGGAGGGGACAGGAGCTGGCTGCTGTTGAGGACGACTAGGACCACAGCTCCTTGGTCCTTGGCTTGGACTGGGGAAGGGCACTCCCTAGGGGTGGCAGTGAGATGGCATCCTCTATGAGGTGGTGCCTGCTTCTTGCCCATGTGGGAGCCAGGAAGCCAGCGGGGGGCCTGAGGCATGCCTGCCCTGTGGGTAGCTCCCGAAAGATTCCAAACTTGCTCTTTAGAATCAGGTGGCTCACTGTGCTCTGTATTTTGTTTCCTGGAGCTTTCACTGGTTGCTTCCCCTGAGATACCCCCAAGTAACACGAAAAGCATATTCAGGGCCTAGAGACACTTCACTGGGGATGAACTCCTGACACAGGTCATTGGTCTGAGAAGTGGGGCAGGCCCCACTCCACTCCACTCGTAGAGAAAGGTTGACAGAGAATCATTTCTTGCTTCTCTTGGCCATAGTTTTGGTTGTGCTGGGGGCCTCAGCCACAGAGGCCTTGGGGGCTGTGGCTGCTCGGACCCCCTTCCTTCCCCATAGAGGGTTTTGGCGGCCCCTGGGAATCAGACTGCATGGTTTCTTGGTGGGAGAGGAGGCCTGGGGTGAGGAGACGGCCTCAGGGACTGTCTCCTCCCCTTGCCCAGGAGTGGCAGAAGGGCTGCTGTCCCCAGCCATGGGCACCCCAGGCAGCAAGGGCAGGTTGGTGAGGGTGGGCTGCATCTCCATCCTCAGCAGGTGCTGTGTCAGGGCCGCCTGTTGCCGGTGCTCCCTGTGCCTGCTCAGCTCCTGCTCCAGCTCCTTGAGGAAGCCTGTGAGGGGCCAGGGGGTGGAGGGTGCAGGGTGGGTGGAGCTCTGGGCTCAGCAGGAGGGTCCCTGAGCTCAGGGAAGTCTCTGGCTGGCCCCTGCCATCCCTCTTGGGAAGCAGCCTGAGGCTGGGGTCCCGGACTGACACCTTACTCTGGCCCAGATGTTGATCTGAACTTGGGGCTCCCCTCCCCAGACGCCACTGCCATCTTAGCTTCCCTCGTGTCCCACAGGGCAGAGGTGGGCTCTGGGGAAGCTGAAAGCCTTGGAAAGCAGGGTCACCTCGTTCTGAGCAGAATGGGCCACTCAGCTCTGGGAACTCCTCATCGCTTGAAGCTTCATCCTCCTCATCTGAAATCCAGCGCTCCATCACAGGTTGCCCATCCAGGTCCAAGAGAAGTGGCAGGGCTTCTATCACCAGCTCACTGCAGAGCAGGAGCAGAGGTTACCTAGGAGGGCACCCTGGCGTGGAGGATGCAAAGATATGCACTACAGCACCCACACCTGGAGGGGTAGTGGCTCATGAGTTAGGTAGGAGGTTGGGGAGAAGGTGCCATGGATAGTAACCCCAGGATTGCAGGCTGAGAGGGGCCTGGGCTGAGTTAGCAGGTGGAGCTCAACTAGACCTTTCTTCCCACCCTCCCCTCCTTACCGGTAGCCATCCTGGCTGGTGCAGCTATTGCCAGACAGGTTGAGGATGAGAAGGCTCTGGGGGAACTCATCTGCACACAGCAAAGAGAGAGGAAATGGGGTTCTCACTTGATCTTAGCCAAAAGGCCATGAAGTGATGGGAATGGGGTTCTCATACCCACTTTTTAGTCCAAAGCCACTACCTCTAGGCACAACCCCTTGAACCCCCTGAGGATGAGGTGTGGACCTGCAGGGGTGTGGCTAATGCAAGCACAGGCAGCTGGGTGCAGAGGGGAGGGCAGGCCCCACAGGGGATGTGTTTGGTGAGCCAGGGCAAATGGGTTCCTACCCAGCTTCAACGTTTCTATCAGGTTCTCAGAAAGGTCCAGAAGCTGGAGGCATGGGAGGTCGAGGAGGTTTTCCACCTGCCTGATTTGGTTTCCTGCCAGAGACAGGAAGCTGTAGGGGAAGGAAGGGGTAGAGAGGCAGAGCTGAATCATGGAACAGCTGGAGGAAAAGAGGAGGGCACTTGACACTGGGGCCCCTGGGCTAGGCAGCTGATGACCAGTGGGGACACATGGCCTTCTGGGGTGAGGGAGTAGAGCTAGGCTTGCTGGTCCTTGGCTGAAAAGGACGGACCCAGGCTTGGAGAAATCTGAACCAGTTCTTTGGGGTGTGGCTAGGTTCCCCCGACCCCTCTTCCCCTGCCTGAGCCCTGGCACCACGTACCGCAAGGAGGGGACGCAAGCCAGGTTCTCAATTTGCTGGATCTTATTCTGCAAGAAGAAACCGAAGTGGGGAAACCAAGCTGAGATCAGATGGGTGGGAGGCCCTTTACAGGGACAAAGTCCCAAGACCATGTCTACTCCTGCAGCTGGAGATCTGGCACTTTGGGAATGATAACCCCACTCCTTGAACAGGTTGCCACTACCTTAAGAAAGATGATTTTCTCTCTCCAGGTGGATGGTTAGGGGTGTAAACCTGGGGTATCTAAACCTGACTAAGTATACTCTTCTGATTCCACAACCAAAGAGTGACCTGGGAATCAGAAAAGGAAACCAAGAAGCCACCAGGAAAATGGAAAGGGCCTTGGTGGTGGCTTGCATACACAGAGAGAACAATAAGCATACATGAACTTGATGGGAAAAGTTTCTATGGGGAAAGTCAAAGCGAGCTGGGAATATTCAACCAGGGGAGGGCTGAAGATCAACCAACCACCACCACCACCAAACAGCCTTCAAGTAGGATCTGATTGATGTAGAGGAATCTTCATAGTTTCCTCTTCCTCTTCAAAACAGGAAATAGGCTGGAGCTATTTAACGTGAAAGATTTAGAGTAAATGCCAAGAACTTCTAGATCAAGAGAACTGCCTAAAGAACAGTGGAGGGAGCACAGGTCATGTTCAGGATCTATTCTGGGGGAATTAGTCTTTCAATTCAGGACCCTATGTCATTCATCTGGGAATGGTTTAACTGAAGGTCTGCCTGCCTGAACACCAGGGAATGGGCAAAATGACCTGGTTGGCTCCTTTCAGATGAGACAGATTAGGTCCACAGGGGTCAAGGGGAGGGGAAGGATGGAGAAAGAAGTTACCCCTTGCAGATAGAGGCTGTGAAGATTCTTGAGGCCCTCTAAGTTCCTGATAGTAGTAATCCCCTCCCGGTCCAGGCGGACAGTCTGCAGTTCATCAAGAGTGTGAAACCTGGGAGAAGAGTCAGTAAGGGTGGTGTTAGAGCACCATTCATGTGGTCTGTTAGCAGGGAGGATGGGAGAGAGAGAGGAGGGAAGGGGTTTCAAGGAGGGGTAGTTGGCTGAGTGATTTTAATCAAATGTGAGAAACATCTTCTTGACATCTTGAGGTGGTGTCTAGATCATGAAACTGTCTTGACTTGCAGACTTGTATCTTTATCATTAGCACTGGGAAGGGTGAGAGAGAGGAGTAAGGACCCTCCGGGAAATTGGAGGATGGCAGCTTATGGTTCCTGGAGAGATTCAGTAGCAAGAGAAGCCTTCCTCTGGCCAGCTTGGATGGTGGAGGCAGGGGTAGGACAGAGATGAGACATTGCAGAAAGATCCTTCCTCACCTTCCTTTTGAGTGGTTCATAGAGGAAAAAGCACTTGTTTCATCCACCCATTCATTCATTCCACAACATTTGCTGAGTGCCTACTAGAGACAAATGACAGAGTCTCTGCCCACCACTATTAAAGAAGCAGGGCAGGCTGGCCATGGTGGCTCACCCTGTACTCCCAGCACTTTGGGAGGCCGAGGCAGGAGGATCGCTTTAGCCCCGGAGGTTGAGGCTGTAATGTGCCACGATTATGCTACTGCACTTCAGCCTGGGTGACAGAGCAAGACCCTATGTCATTTAAAAGAAAAAAAAAAAAGAGGCTGGGTGAGGTAGCTCACGCCTATAATCCCAGCACTTTGGGAGGTTGAGGCGGGCAGATTGCCTGAGGTCAGGAGTTCAAGACCAGCCTGGCTAACATGGTGAAACCCCATCTCTACTAAAAATACAAAAAAAATTAGCTGGGTGTGGTGGCGGACACATGTAGTCCCAGCTACTCAGGAGGCTGAGGCTGGAGAATTGCTTCAACCCGGGAGGCAGTCGTTGCAGTGAGCCGAGATCGTGCCACCACACTCCAGCCTGCGCAACGGTGTGAGACTCCGTCTCAAAAAAAAAAAAAAAAAGAGGAAGAAGGTGAAACATCTATGACAAGTGGATAACAGAGGCAAGTACAGGGGAAAGGAAGAAGAAGAAGGAGGAGGAGGAGGAAGAAGGGGAAGAAGGAGAAAGAATAAAGAAGAGGAAGAAGAAGAAAGAATGAAGAAGGCCAAACATCTATGACAAGTGGATAACAGAAGCAAGTACAGGGGACAAAGGGAGTACATAGTCTGTGCACTAAGTTCAGAGTAGGAGGAATCAGGGAATGCTTCCTAGAGGAGGTGACAGATGAGTAGGCATTAGTCATGAAGATAGGGGGATATGGTGAGAAGGCATTTCAAGCAGAAGGAATAGTATGTGCTAACACAGCCCTTCCGAAACTCCAATATGCCCATGCAGACTCTAATTCAGTAGATCGGGTGGAGGGGCTGAGATGCTCCACTTCTAACAAGCCCCCTGTGATGCCAGTGCTGCTGCCCTACCCCTGCACCCTCTCCCACCTACACATACTCTGAGTAGTAAGGTACTAAGGTGTGAGTACGCAGTGTGGGAAATTGTACACTTGTGGAAAGTGGCCAGAAAGAAGGCTGAAAAGCAGAAGACAACTTAAGCTTAGGCAGTGGGATTTTATTTCTGTCAGTGAGTGCCTGATTAGATTTGTTATTTAAAAGGATCACTTTGGCTACTCAGGAGGCTGAAGTAGGAGGATTGTTTGAGGAGTTCAAGACCAGTCTGGCCAACAGAGCAAGACCCCATCTCTAAAAAAGTAATTAAAAATACTT